TGGGCAGCTATCTAGACACCGGCTTGCAACCTCTGCCATAGGCACATGTGGTGTGGAAGTCTCCTGCCGGCTAGCGCTATCTTCCCCACATGGCCTAATGGTAGGGGCAGTTGCTACCCCTACCGGCGGCTGCCTTTTGGCCCTGGGGCAGCCGTTTGGGTCTCTCTATACTTAGGATAATATTTGATGATATGGCCCGGGTCACCGCAGAAAATGCACTGGCCCCGGTCCAATCATTGTTGCCATAAAGCCTGGTCCAGACCCAAAGATTCCCAAGGCTTACCCTGAGGTAGCCCTGGGTGCCATCCTCCTATTCTATAGGGAGCCCTCCTCCAAGGGCGGTTTTGCGGGGGACCTTGACCCCTGCCTCCCGCTTGGCAGTTTCCTCCTCTACCGCCAACCCCCTGATCGCTCTGAAATCGACTCTCTGAGGCCCGGCCCCCTTGGCCCTATCCTCGTCCTCCTTGCGGTCTCCCTCCGGCCGCGACAGCAGCGTAGGATCTCCCCTGACCCACACCGTTGTCCGCCTCCTCTAATCCCCACTCAATCTGGTCGTAGGGAATCTCATCTACACTACCCTCATCTAAAGTCAGGACAAGGCTATCCTTGGTCTTTACCTGCCCTGAGATAGTGCGGCCTTTCCATTGCTTACCCCTGTCCAAGTCTTTGTGCCAGAAGGTAGACAGAGATACTGACTTTGCTTCAAAAGCCACCACCTCACAACTAAGAGAATCGTAAGTGGTGGCAGGGTCTTCGCTTTTCGCGAAGAACTGCCCTCGAAAGGCTTCGGGAATAGCCCGGTAAAAGAGGTTGACCAACTGGCCCTCTGTGACCCCATGGTCAGGGATGGCCACCAACTCATCCATTGTACCCTTGAGTGCCCTGGCACTCTTCCATTTACGAGAATGGATGGTTTGAAGCTTGTCTGAGGCCTTGACACTGCGAGCGACATCAGCAAATCGCTCGCGCAACAACTTCATAAATTCGGTGAGGGACGTAAATGAGGAGTACGCAACGGGATCATCACTACAGTTGGCAGCGCGAACTAGGGACCTTGCAAAACTSGCGGCCTCATCTCTCAGTGCGTGGATAGCAATTAAGACTTGCTGATCTAGGGAGACCTGTTGCAAGTGCACATAGGTCTTAACGTTGGCCTCCCAATTGTCAAAGTTTTCCTCCCTCTTCCCGCTGTAGGAATCCGGGAACTTGACTTTGACAGGCTCCCGGCGAGGAGGACGTGCTTCCTCCTCCTTGGGAGCTGCCGCCTTGACGCCTTCAATGGCGCCGGCGCAGAACCGCTCAGTCTTGTCGAAGCGATGACCCACCTCGACTTCAACGGCGCCTACCAGCTCACGAGTAAAGTCTCGAAACCCCAACCGTATCGAGCGCACCGCTATGTCCTRGCTTCTGCTAAAGTCATATTGGTCAGCCTGAACCCGTGCTAGGCATGCAACGCTTCGAGCTATGACTCACATCTGATTTGGGAGATCGGGCTGGGTGGCTAATTGCGCCTCTATATTCTTCACTTCCTCTAAGGCCTCTGCCGCCTCCGCTGCCTTGTCAATTCTCCTCTTCTTCTCCCGCATCACCGCTAATTTCCATTCCATCCTCTTCTCGTCTTCCAACGCTTGACGTTTCAAAGGGTCTTTCTCTGCCTCCCAAGCCTTCATGGCAGCTTCTTGCTGATCCTGCGGGATGTACATACTAACCTCTTCTCTCTTCTCCCACAGTCAGATATCCTCTTCTCTATGTCTCCACCGGTATTACTACTGGGCTGCCCACTACTCCTTTGCAGTGGCGGTCCTTCCTCTTCTTCATCCACCTCCTTCAGCTTCTCTTCTTCTTCCTTTTTCAACTTCTCTTTCTCCCTGGCCATCTCTTCTTCCATCTTCTTTAATTTTGCCGCCTGCTCCTCCTTCAAGGCCTTCTTCTTGGCCTCCTCCTTCTCCTGCAGAATGGCGGCCATCTTCTCCTCCTCCTTCTTCGTGTAAGGGGTGGTGGAAGTCCCACCGCGAGTGGGCCCTACTCTACACGTGAGAGTGGGCCAAAAGCCCAGAGTAAAGAGGAGACGCCAGAGGGTCCCCCAGAGGGAGAACCCCGCAAATAGCCCATACATCGGATAGTCATCCATCGTGGTGTTGGTGCACGACAGGCGTCCCACTCCTCACCACGTAGACCTACCCGAACACACTGACCTACTGACTGACTCCCTAAGGGCCACAGGCAACTAACCCAAGACTACTCTAAGGCTGTCACTACAGAACCAAAAGCTGATCAGGAGGTATTTTAGAAGATCCCCCAACTTCGCAAGAATTCTTTAACGTCGCAGACAGGACGACGCGATCAGCTTGGTTCCTCTGGCGATTTCAGCCCACAACTCAGCCCGTCCAGCCTACTGTGCCACACCGAGCAGCCCGCCGGTCTGTACCGGTCCTTAGAGGGGTTCGTATCCCTCAGGACAGTCGAGTCGTCAGACACAAATCATCAGCCTTACTAGGTCCGGTTGGGGAGTGGCTCAACCAGGCCTCAATACTTAAAGACGGCCTTCGTTTCAGCCTACAGCTCGGAGTTCAGACCCTCCACACTGAACTCAGTAGACCTGCCGGACAGTATCGGTCATTGGGCTAGACGAGTTGTTTAACGAGCGCTCGCCGCTCATGCCCAGGTCTCCAAGTGTCAGAGTAGAGCTTAGGTCCTACTAAGCCCGTGCAGGTTT